CACACACACACACACACACATATATATATATATACATACACTTATACACTCATACACACCATTACAGCATGCTCCTGAGAAATTTCGGGGGTTGTGGATGGAGAGGCTGTTGAGTTATAAGCGGATAGTCCCCAACATGAAAACACTCTGCAAGGACATATGTGAGGCAGCGTAGTGGAATCAGGCTGTCGTCAAAATAATCAAAGTGAAGAAACTTGAATTTTTTCGCAGGTTTGTGGATTTTTATCAATTTTTTGTTTTTTGGCTCTGCACCGTTCATGCCCTTTAAAGAACTCATTTCTTTTTGGATTTTTCTCATAAACGTTAATTAAATGTACAAAAAAATGTTAATTTTCAGTTACCACGGACTCTTTAGCTAAGGAAATAACTAGCGGCCATTTTCTCACTTATTTTACTTATGAAAACAGGTGACCCCCATCTCCTTCTTTCGCAAATATCTCAACTTGTATTCAAGATAAATGAATATTTTTTTCATCCAAAGAAAGACAAGTGAACAAGCTTTAAGATGATACCAATAACTCTACATGTCCAAAAAATTGACGAGAGCCTGATTCCACCACGCTGCCTCACATATTAGGAAGGTAAAAGTATCTGTCAACAGAAGTAAGAGAATTCCACACCACAACAACTACGACAAATAAATGGAAAGAGTGTGTTTATGTGTGTGTGAGTGGGTGTGTGTGTGTGTGTGTGTGTGTGTGTGTGTGTGTGTGTTTGTTTTTGTGTGTGCATGTGTATGTAAGTGTGAGTGAGTGTATGTGTAAACGTGTGTGTGTGTGTGTGTGTGTGTGTGTGTGTGTGTGCTTGTGTGTCTGTGTGTATGTGTCGTCGTTATGTGTATGTTTGAGTAGACACGTGTGGTTACGTGCTTGGCAAACGTAAATCAATATGAGTAATCAATATGTGTTACATTAGTTCTTGTATACTATCCATGTCAAGAATCGGCGCCTGTGGTGTAGCAGTTTGGCGCCTAGCCGTCGCACACAGAAGACGTGAGTTTAGGGGCTCTCGTGGCCTAGAGGTTAAGGTGTTGGCTTCTCATTCAAAGGTCCCGGTTCGAATCCGGGTAGTGACCGAAACATTTTCTTCTCTAAATTTGTCTCCTTTCACCTCCTTTCCTGCTCTCTAGCAATGTTCTGTCGTCTGCTTTCGTCTCCTCTTTCTGCCCCCACTCCCTCATCTCCTTTGTCCCCCTCCTCGCTGGGCTTCTGATTCT